AGCACTGGGAGGAGCTAAGGATAAGCTGGAGCACCCATGAGGCTGGGACTCCTGCAGCATCCGAGAAGATAGACGGCCCAGGGATCCTGGGGCAGCTCCATCCGAAGCGGTTCTGCTCGCAGTGCTGCCTAGGCAGATATGTCACAATTCCCAGTGTTTATGGAATCAGCCAAAATCAGCTGCAGCAGTCTGGGAAGTGTCCAAGCACCATGCCAGGACAGAAGCACCTTTTAAGATTTAAAGGGTCAGAAAGTAAGTTTGCATGTGCCTATGCTACATCCAGATCCTCAGAGCAGGACCTTCCCCACTGATAGGAAGAGGACAGCAGACACAAATGTCATCTTTTCCCACTGTCTTTGGAAGTTTCCCTTCTTTGTACTGAAATTACCGCACCCAGACAGAATGATGACAAGGCCTGGCTGATAATCCTGCTGCCAGCAGTAAATTTGTTTTGTTAAAAAAAGCACCTAGCTTAAGAAAGTGAAATAGGGAAGGTTTGCCTGCATTTTGTACCAAAGGGCCTCTGCAACCCTAAAATTGTGAGAAAGCAGATTAAATTCACTTTAAAGAAACAGAGGAATTCAAAGTGTCGTGCAAGGGTTAAAATGTAACTGATGTCCTCACTGAACTGCTGAGTGGGGATGAGCAGATCAACTTCAGGTTTTGTTTTCTTATTCATGGATCTGGGAGATGAAAGCAATCATCAGCCTGATAGCCCATCTTTGTGAATGTTTCCTAATGTGTTCCCCAACTTGATTGTAAATGTAAAAGGCAGTGCTGCTTCCCTGTATCCTTTGGGATGCTAGTTCATAAGCTAATAATTATCTTACAAATCCATGATGCAACTAGCTTTTACCTCTCTCACTGTGGGAAACCACTTCCCCTCCAGCAGTATCTCCTTCCTTTTGTCACCTGTGCCCTCCCCATATGCTCTTTTCAATCAGTTTCTTGTGTCTTCAATCTATTTTCAAATTAAGGCTCCATGGCAGGGGGGGAGGGGGGGGGGGCGGGGGCAGGGTCTTCCCTTCCCCACTCCCCCCCTGTGAAATACCAGCCTCTCCCACCTCATTACAGAAAGACTGGATTTCTTTGGTGAGCTCGGACAAGATGCAATTTAGAGTAATCTATCAGACTGATAGAAACACAAGCAGATACAATACTGTGAACTTACTTTATTCCTAATTATGCAAATCATCATGTAAAATAGGCAAATGCATCATTTCCCCCCAGGCTCCTGGCATTTCCCCACTAAGCTTTAGGGAGTGCAAATTTTGATGTTCTTAGCTCAATAGCCTGCCTGATCATGCAAGACTATATGTAAATATGCTTCAAAATGTTGAGGTTAAAAGTGTCATGGAAGTTATTTACTAAATGTAAGTGGGACAGATCTCACAATTCAGGCGTTTGCACCAGGGTGTCAGCAGTGTGGGTTAGCAGGGCAGCCAGGGAGGCCCAGCAAGTTTTTGTGAGCAAACGGGTGGAAGGAGAAGGGGGAAGTGATGGCCTTTGTTCCTCTGAGGGCAAGGAGGACTGGAAGCCTTGTAACAGGTAATCTGAAAAAGTTCACCCTCAGGCACCCAAAATAAATGGTGGGATGGGGAGGGGGTGCTTTGTTTTGATTTCCCTCCCCCCATGGGAAGATTTTTCTATCAGATGGGATAGGAAACAAGGAAAATTATATTGGCACCATTTAAGGAGGCTTTAAAACAGCAGGAAAAGACATCATGTAGGGATGCTACTCCTCACTCTGACTTATCTTGGAAACTGAACTAGATTTATTTTTATATCTGGAAAAAGACAGATAATTGTCCCTAACAATTCTTTTATATGCATGGTAGTCTAGTCAGACAGCTCCAGAGTTGGTACCAATACCTGAGACTGTAAATTTATTCTGGTATCTTGGACTTGCTAGGACTTTGCGAAGTTTTATTGCTGACAGACCATGTGGCATACTCAGAACACTAGCGGTTTGGAGATTTTTAGAGAAAACCTTTTGAACTGCTATGTGGTTGCAATAGACAATTTCTCAGACACTGCAAAGCCTTGCACAGCACATTTGTTCTGGGTGGCTGATAACCTGGCTGACAGTGGCTGCCTGTACTTATGTGCTGATGAGAATCCCTCCTGTTGTGAGGAAATTTAAGTAATTTTGCAGGCTAACACTCGTGAATTTAGATTGAAGTAAAAACAGGAGATGAGCACAAGTTTGCTGCCTTTTGAAAGACGGCTGATGCTGCTTACAGAGGTTCTGGATATTTGCGGTAATCTGTATTCCAGAATCCTAGATTTTGCTGCTTTTAAAATTTTATTTTATTTTCTTTTAATTGTCTCCTGAAAGTTGTCAGGATGTCCTAGACTGATTTAGCAGCCTGGGATTTTTTTAGTCACAGTCTGCTGTTTTGAGATTGACACTGCCTCTCTCAACGATTGTGTCCCATCTCCCAGTGGGTCTACATAGGAAAAAAACCTTGGAATTTGGTAACACACCCACCCAAGAGACTTTCTTCCTCCATTTTAATAAATCCTGTTGCACATTCCTGCCATCTGGGATGGCCTAGCAGCATCATTCCATGTGATAAATGTACTCTTCTTATCTCTCTAAGAAATAATCAAGGATACAGCTTTCCTTCCTTCTTCCTTTCTGTCTATACTTCCACTTTTTTTTTTTTCTTTTGCTTCACTCTGATTCTACATTATGTTCATCATAAGTGTAATGGAGTCACACAGCTTTAATAGCACGTACTGGAGCTCCCAGTAGTCTTTCTTTGTACCATGGTTTGGATGAATGACTCTAACAAATGGGACCAGTAGAAAACAGGGGGAACCACTGATGCCATCTGCCCCGTCTTGTAAATAAATACCCAGTTAGTCTTGCCGCTTGATTTAACATTCCTTACTCTGAATAGTTTCCATCACTGTCTCCTTATTGCTGAAAGATAGTTTCTTGCAATACAATTTTACTAGCTCTGAACTTGTCTCCTTACGTACAGAAATCAAAACGAGGGATGCATGGGGCAGAAAGTTTGCAGTTGCTTTCCTTTCTCTGCATTGTCATTGCCTGCCACTGAAACATCTCCTTTCATCTAATGCTTTTCATAGTGGTTATCACAAAATGCTTTGCAGATGAAGTCAGTCATATAAGCCAAAGTGAAAAATAGAGGCTTTAAGGCAATTATTACAGATAAGTGACTCAACAGCTCAGGGACTGTTACAGAAAGATGGGGGGGAGGGGGGGGAGACACCCCCCCAAAACCCCCCTACTGGATAGAATAATCTTTTTGAAGGTTACTAACAGCCAAAGAACAAACAATAGAGTAGACAAGTTCATGTAAGTTTGTACCATGGGAAGTTATTTAGGTGAAGAGTATCACAAAAACCTGCTTAGTCACTAGGTGCAGAAAAGTAAGGAATCCAGATAACAAGCCTTAACAAACTGAAAAACTGAAGTCCCTCTAAGGCAATCTCAAACAGCTATAACTGAGAATGAAGAAAACACTTCATTCTTTTCCAGAAGCAACTGTTGCAGCCATGAGTAGCTAGTCCTGCCCGTACATATTTTGGAGAGCACAATATTATTTTTAAAAACATGTCCACTTTTAGAGGTATAAATTTATATTAGTAATCCTGTTTATAACTGTCAACTTCTCTTAACAAATGTAACAAAAGCTGCAGCTCCATGGTTTTACTGGCATGAGGACACATTGTTCATGAGCAGGAGAGGATATGGGAAACATTTGTCCAACAATTGCTGTTGGAGTACCCAGAGCCAAACCCTGCTCTCTTGAACTGCCCTGGAGGACTGTACAGATTGGTTAATAGGATCCCAATCCCGAGTAAAAGAGTAAAAGTAAGAATTTGAATAGCACAGTTAAGGGGACCTCTATCCTCAAAGAGAGGGATGGGGTAGGTTGAATAATACTGGGTGGGAGCCTGTTTTAGGCCATGGAGAAGGAAAAGCAGGCGGTGCTGCAGGGCTTTTGCCAAGCACACCCTTTCCGTGCTTGCCCGGGACATGTGTTTTGGTGGTGTACCTCAAAACACAGCTATGCTGCAAAACCCACACTTCTGTCCTTAGCAAATGTACGTTGTCTAGCTCTAGATCTGCTCAGCATCGCCTGGCAGGCCGGTAACAGCCCTCTCCCGACCTATGCCATTTTCTGTCTTCCAGGCAGGCTGGACACTTCCAGAGGAACTGATGCTTTTTTGCAGCCTTTTCGAGTCTCTTAAGGAGTCGCAGCAGTGCAGATGGGGATTTAAAATTTCTCCTCTCTGCTTAGGTAACACTGGACGTTTCAAAAAAAGCTGCCTTCCCCCAGCTAAAGTTTAGATCTGCATGAATAAAGCGTTTATTCTGCCAGGAAAAAGCAACGGTCATGCTGTGATAACAAATCAAGCCCCCCACGCTGGGGGAGGCGATGGCGCACAGACACGAACATCCCGACAACGCAATCGGCTCATTCTGCAAATGTACCCGGGTGCTGCTTCCCCCCTCCAACCCCTCCTTTTTTTTTTTTTTTTTTTTTTTTTTCCCTTCTTTTTTAATAACTCCGGGCACAGGCAGCTGTTTGCATTTTCAAAGCCTGCTCAGAAAGCAGCCAGTTAATTTTAGTTTGTTCGGGCCACCCTCAGCGAGCTGGTTGAGCCCCCCCCTCCCTTCCCAACTGTGCCCTGCAGCACGAGGGGGGGTGGGTGGAGGGGGGGTGGTGGAGGGGGGGGCCCCGGGGCGGTTCCTCCCGCCCCCGCCCCCGCCCCCGCCCGCCCCGCCCCGCCGGGGATGGGAAAAAGTTGTTCGCAACTTTCCCCCCCCGCGTCCCCTGCCCGGGCTCCTCCCCCCTCCCCTCCCCCCGCGTCGCCACGCCCCCACGCGGCGATTGGCGGGCGGGCCTGGCGAGGCCCCGCCCCTGGCGCGGTTTGTGAATGGGGCCGGCGGCGGGGGCGGGGCCCCGCGGCGCGCCCGCGCGTATATGTGTCTTTTTTTTGTGCCGGCGCGGCCGCGGGCCGGGAGCCGTGGTGCGGGCGGCGGGGCCGCGGGCGGAGCGGAGCGGAGCAGAGCAACAGAACAGAATAGAATAGGAGACGCACGGCTGCCCCGGACGCACAGTCGGGAGCGGAGCCCAGCCGAGCCGCGGGAGGATCGCACTGTAATTGGATTTTAAAAGTTACTTAAGCCCCGGAGTAAAATACACGGCTCAGCCGGGCGCGGTAATAATCCGTTTAGCCGTAACCTAAATCCGCGGCGCCGGGTCCGCGCAGCCGGGCGGGGAGCAGCGCCTCCGCCTCGCTGCCGCCGCGGGACCCTGCGCGGAGCCGTCGCCGGGTTTCGCGCGTGTCTCCTGCCTCGCCGCCGCCTTCTCCGGCGGGAGCAGCTCCGGAAACTTTCGCCGAGGGAAGCACCCACCCGCCGGAACCGAGGAAGAAAGTCGCGGAGGTCAGCCGCGGAGCCGCTGCCGCACCCCTGCCCCGCGGAAGGGGCCCCGCCGCCGCCCTCCGGGCGCTGATGCCCCTGGGTCTCCGCGCCGCCCGGCTCTAAAGGGCTTCCCCGGGCCCCCGGCCGCACCGGCGATGCGGGCTGGAGGAGGAGGAGGCGGCGGCGACGGCGCGGCCGCCGCCGGCTGCCCCTTGCTGGGCCTGGCCGCCCTGCTGGCCGCCCTGCTGGGGACCCCCGCGGGCGCGGCGGCGCAGCAGTACCACGGCGAGAAGGGCATCTCCGTGCCGGACCACGGCTTCTGCCAGCCCATCTCCATCCCGCTCTGCACGGATATCGCCTACAACCAGACCATCCTGCCCAACCTGCTGGGCCACACCAACCAGGAGGACGCGGGGCTGGAGGTGCACCAGTTCTACCCGCTGGTCAAGGTGCAGTGCTCAGCCGAGCTCAAGTTCTTCCTCTGCTCCATGTACGCGCCGGTGTGCACCGTGCTGGAGCAGGCCATCCCGCCCTGCCGCTCCCTCTGCGAGCGGGCCCGCCAGGGCTGCGAGGCCCTCATGAACAAGTTTGGCTTCCAGTGGCCAGAGCGGCTCCGCTGCGAGAACTTCCCCGTCCACGGTGCGGGCGAGATCTGCGTGGGGCAGAACACCTCGGACGCCCCACCGGGGCCCGGCGGGGCGGCAGGCCGGGGAGCCACTGTTCACCCAACCGCTGGCTACCTCCCTGACTTCCTCACCCCACCGCAGCCCCCCTCCGGCTTTTCCTTCTCTTGCCCCCGGCAGCTCAAAGTGCCTCCTTACTTGGGCTACCGGTTCCTGGGGGAGCGGGACTGTGGGGCCCCCTGTGAGCCAGCCCGGCCCAACGGGCTCATGTACTTCAAGGAGGCAGAGGTGCGATTTGCCCGGCTGTGGGTGGGCGTGTGGTCTGTGCTCTGCTGCGCTTCTACCCTCTTCACCGTGCTCACCTACCTGGTGGACATGCGCCGTTTCAGCTACCCGGAGCGGCCCATCATCTTCCTCTCGGGCTGCTACTTCATGGTGGCGGTGGCCTACGCGGCCGGTTTCTTGCTGGAGGAGAGGGTGGTGTGTTTGGAGCGCTTCTCTGAGGACGGCTACCGCACTGTGGCCCAAGGCACCAAGAAAGAAGGTTGCACCATCCTCTTCATGATCCTCTACTTCTTCGGCATGGCCAGCTCCATCTGGTGGGTCATCCTGTCCCTCACCTGGTTCCTGGCTGCTGGCATGAAGTGGGGCCATGAGGCCATTGAGGCCAACTCCCAGTACTTCCACCTGGCTGCCTGGGCTGTGCCCGCTGTCAAAACCATCACCATCCTGGCCATGGGGCAGGTGGATGGGGACGTACTCAGTGGGGTGTGTTACGTAGGTATCTATAGCGTGGACTCGCTGCGGGGCTTTGTGCTGGCGCCCTTGTTTGTGTATCTCTTCATTGGCACTTCCTTCTTGCTTGCTGGCTTCGTGTCTTTGTTTCGCATCCGCACCATCATGAAGCATGACGGCACCAAGACAGAGAAACTGGAGAAGCTGATGGTGCGCATCGGTGTCTTCAGTGTCCTCTACACAGTGCCTGCCACCATTGTCCTGGCGTGTTACTTCTATGAGCAGGCCTTCCGTGGCACCTGGGAGAAGACATGGCTCCTCCAGACCTGCAAAACCTATGCCGTGCCCTGTCCCAGCCACTTTGCCCCTATGAGCCCGGACTTCACTGTCTTCATGATCAAGTACCTCATGACCATGATTGTGGGGATCACGACTGGCTTCTGGATCTGGTCTGGCAAAACCCTCCAGTCCTGGCGACGCTTCTACCACAGACTCAGCACCGGCAGCAAAGGCGAGACGGCAGTATGAGCTCCCCCACCCCCGTCCCCTCTGGTGCACACACACACACACACACACGCACGCACACATGCAGTGGAGGGGGATACTGGGCAGAAGAGGATGGCAATGGCTCCCTGAAGAGGGAGGAAGGGAGGCTTTTCCAAACTTTTTCTTTCTCCCAGGGGGTTTGAAAAGAAAAATATTCTTGGCGTAAAGGATCAGACGGACTGTGTCCAGTAGTGCTTATGCCCAGCTAAGTGGAAGAGCACAGAAAAAGAGGCCACTGGTGGGGTGGGAGAGTCCTTCAACCGCAAGAAGTCCCCTTATTCCTCTCTCTCCTCCTACCCCTGTGCAGGAAAAAAAAACAAAAAAAAAAAACAAAAAAAACAAAACCAAACCAAACCAATCCAACTAAAACCATCCTGCCTTGCTTTGGACGAGAGGGAGGGGAAGCCAGATCTGTTGAGCTGCCCCTGCCGAGAAGTAGCCAAACCCTCTCTGAATTGCTGGGGTCAAACTGCGGCGCGGGCAGGGTAAGTCCGAGCCCCAGCTTACCGCCTGCTCCTTCCAGCTCAGCGGAGCAATCACGTGAGTACCACACAGCCAGCTCCAGCTCCAGCCCCGACCCTGTGCTGGTGAGATGCCTCTGTTCTGTCAACTCACAAGTTCCCTTTTACCTCTGTGATACCTGTTGTAATTGTTTTAAAGTGAAAATTCGGCCCTCGGTCTGTTGTAGTTGCTGCTGTGGGGAAGGAGGGGGTTGCTGTTCCACACCCTGAAAAGAAATGACTTGTTGCTTTTCAGCAGAAGGCTTTTCCCCCTTGCCTTTGTTCTAGGAGACAAAGGGGGAAACAAAAGTGTTTTCTGTGTAGAAAGGCATAAGCATGGGATCGGTTTTTATGGGCAAACTAACAAAAAGAAGTCGTTGAGGTTCACCCTTGGATGTGAGGAGCTTGCAGAAATAAACATTCCTTTTATGAAAAAAGGAGGAGGCAGGATGTTTTCCTACCATTCAATATGGGTCGCTTTTCTAAGCTGAAGGAAATGCAAGACTTAGAGGGCAAGAAGAGCATAACCAAGAGCACCTGCCAAAACAAAAGCCATTAAAATATATAACGTAAAGATACCATTTTTTTTCTTCCCTTCCCATAAACCTGCTTTCTCTCCTGCTTTGCTGTGAGCTTGCTGCAGGTAAAGTCAATACACAGCTGGCTTCTGGGGACAGGAGGAGTCATTTTGGCTCACGATGGACCCTTTGCCTGCTCCTCAGGTTCCCTGAACTGCATGGCAATGACTCTGGTGCAGGAGGGGGCTGGGGCTGGGGTTTAAAAGCAAGCAGTTACTGCAAGTGAGGAGCCTTCTCATTTCAGCTAAAATACAGCTGGTTAAGTTTCTGGTGATCACGTCTTGGAAGGAAAAGAAATATAATCAAAAATTAATCATCAAATCCATTGTTTTCTGTTTGAAATGTGACAGATTTTTCTATTCTGAATTTTTTATGTTGACTTGTTCATATTTTATTTTTTTGCATACTACTTTACCTTTATATTCACTGAAGGGTTGTTTTTATAAGTATATGTGTGTGTGTATATTCTTGCCTAAGGATAAAATAGGAAATTCTGGATTTTTAGCAAGTGTCCACCCTATAGCTGCTCTTCATTTTTTGGGGGGGAAAAGTGTCTGGAATGAAATTTAAAAAGAAAAAACCTGTTCAGGGTGAGGGGGCAGACTGCTGCTGCCTGAGGACATAGCAGCAGTCTGGGCATAAGGAATGGGCCCATCAGCCAAATCCTTCAGTAGAGCTGATTTCAGACTTGCAGGGCTTGGGTTTTTGTATTCTATAATGTGCACGTGGAAGAAAAAAATAAAAAACAAACGTGTAAGACAAGTGCAGTATGTATATTTTGTAAATCTCATTTTTGTAAGAAAATATGTATTTATGTTTTTACTTGATTTTTTTTGAAGGTCTGTATGAGGCCCTGCTTCATCCCATGTACAGATCACTAAATAAATAATTTTTAATACAAGGGCTCTGATTAAGTTCTTTCAGTCTTTGAATACTTGTCAGATTATAGGGGGGGACAGCTCTGTGAGTGGACTCTTTCCCCTCTGCTTTGTTGTGGAAGATGCAACAAGCCTTTGGGTGAATACACTGACCAGAAACTCAGCTGTGACTTGAAAGGGGCCTTTCTGAGTACTGACCCCTCACAATGGATCACATTTTGAGACTTTCAAATATTTGCCCTCACTTGAGGTATGTGCATCCTAGCCAACTTTTCTTCCAGGCTCTGCCTCTCGCTGAGGGCAAGCTGATGAACCAGTTTTCCTTATCTAGAAAATAAGGATAATGCTCTCTAAGGATAATGCTCTCTTCCCATTCCAAAGGGACTTGGAGACTGAGAACTGGAGGGTGCTACACGTGCTGTAAATTAAATCCTTGCTTTGATGCATGGAGTGTTTTTAGGAAACAATAAGGACTAGGTCCTTTTCAACAGCTTTGTAAGGGCAGTGGTTTGAACTGGCTTTTTTCTCCCCCAGCACCTTTGCTATCTCCAGTATTGTTCAGGTGAATTTTACTTTAATCTTAATAGCTAGCCTGAAGCCTACATTCTTTCTTATCACAGTCATCTGAAAGTTAATAGCTTCAATTGAATGGTCTATTTTATTTAATTTTTTAAACTGAAATGAATGTTTAGATCTCAAGCTGTGTTGCTACAATCACAGAAAGTGCCCCAGCAAACAGAATTTTACACCTGTGAAATGATGATAGTTTCCAGCTTTTTCTCATGCAGTGTTTTCAGCCTATTTATTGGGTTCATCACCTTTCCTTTGCCTTAAACTATGGCTATACTAAAACTTAAGTTACAGAATAGATATCTAGGATGCCTTAGCTCCATGCCATCCTGGTAGCTGCAATATTGTTTCATTTACTGAGCACAGTATGCAAGTGTTGCACTTTCAGGGCACTATTTTATTTGGACCCTATGCTCTCAAGCGTAATCGTTTAGATTTACGGCTTCCAAACTACTAATTTAAAGTTCTTTTCAGAGCTAGCCCCATTCACATTGCCTCTCTAGAAAAGCCACATCTTTCATTTGCCAACACCTCTAGCTGCTCCCCAGAATTGCTCACTTGTCAAGTTTCCTTTTTGAAAAGGCCTTTTCGTTCCTGTGAGTCAGGCTGCTTCAAACTGCTGCATGGCATGATCATTGCTGAAGGGGGTTTCATTCCACTCACTTAGGAAACCCGAACCTTTCTATAAACATTTCTTCCCATTAATCTATCAGTGCCGGCCAGAGCAATGGAATGGCTGAAACCGCTTGCGCGATGAAGGACTGGGAAGCGACAGGAGCAGTGGTGTGCCTGATGCCCCTGTGCTGTGCAGCCACAGCTGCGTCGCTACACATGCAATTAATCCTTAATTCCATCACGGGCAGCTAAACCTGCAATTCATGCAGGCGGCCCGTCCCCTTCCTCTCGGCTCACCACCTATCCTTGCTACCTGGATGAGAAACTGCATTTAGCTGTGATCGCTACTTTTTTTGTCTGTATGTTTAAAAACTTAAATAGACTTTCCCCCCCCGCCCCCCTTAGTTCACAAGATGCTCATATCTGAAAGGAAATGTCTCTGTTTCCACCAGAAACCACTAAATGTGAATGCTTTTATTTCAGAATTTCCTATGAGGTTCTTCTGGATTTAAAGTCACTTATGCAAAACTATCCAAGTCCTGGGATTTAAGTAGATTTTTAAAATTTGAGATTGTAGGTGAAATTTGATGCTGGTGTAAAGTAGAAGCAACTGCTATTCACTTTTAAGCAGATGTGACTCACATCAAGGCTGAATTTGCTCACAGTGGAAACAATTTGGAGAATTTCAAGTAGTGATAGCGTCTGGCCTTCTGGAATAAAAATCTCTATCACTATTCTGATAACAAAGGAGCAGTTGCTTTCATAATGGAGTACAATTTTTAATGAAGCTGTCTGGAAAAAAGGAGGAAAAATAAGCCTTTGCTAACCTTTGCTAATTGCTGCAAAGTTATTTTTCTTTGACTAATGTTTAAGTCCACTTTCAGTTAACATTCCTTTAAGAAAAGTTTCACACCTTTCACCTTTGGCTCTTGTCTATGCATTGGTTTCAGTTCACAAGACCTTGGCAAGTAATAGTTATCATTGATCAATAACCCTGTAAGTTAACACCAGATACTACATTTTCATTAAAAATATATAAACGCTGCTTCTTAAGTTTCAGAGACGTTTGTGTTCCTTTCTAGAAGAAAGTATTATTATTTCAGGCAAGTGAAACAGGAGGCTTTATGAATTCTAGAGTTCACAAATAGCAGCAGCAACTGAATGTGTGTCTGAAGAAAAAAGTGCTTTTACAGTATGTCAGTGTTTGTTTGGGTTTATTTTTGGTGGAATACCCACACCAGTGATTGAATGTTTTTGTCTAAGTACTTAACCCACAACCAATAGCTTTGCATGCAAATAAAAAACCACACATCTCTGTGTCCACCAACTGGTAACTGTAAACATTATTTATAATTTCACATGGGTTTAGAAACCAAATTACTAGCTTGTATCTTAAATTGGTTTTTTTTTTCTGCATCTCATTCTCACTTCCAGACCTTATAGGTACTTCATGGACACCCTACTGTCCATACTTGCTTTCTACTCCTGTTATTTTTTAAAACCATGAATCCAGCTGAAAAAAATTTAGTCTTTCGCTGGGAGAGGAAAAGACGGCGCTGAATCTTTCAGCACTATGACTGTTCATTGAGATATACTATTGCCAAGCCTGTTCTATATAAACCAGGATAATTGTTTCATGCCAACATGAGTGTGTGGTTTTGGCAGCTGCAACACTGCACAGGATAATATAGGATTGGGAGAATAAATACAGTGAATGGCAAGTTCCCAAATGCCCCACTTAGAACTGACACATTTTGACTAAAATGTTGCCCAGGCTGTAAAACTAAAATATGTACATCAGAGTTTAACGCTGCTCAGACAACCCGTTTGCGCTGTAGTCAGAGGAGGAGGGTTTTGATGCTGTTTAAACCCAAGGTTGCCTGGTTTGGGTAGCTGGGCATTGCTTGTCTCAAAACCAGGTAAGTGGAAGTAAGGCACAGCACTTCTGCCTAATCCAGGGAACGACTGGGTTCAAGCACAGCGTTACCACAGCTGCAGCCAAATAGGATTTGACTGAATGATGCACAGTGAGAACAGACAGGCCCAAACAGGGTCATGAGTGTGTACTCCTCTACATTGCTTGCTCCTCTCTACAGCCAGCCTAACCATGCCAGGAGACTCTAGGACTGGGATAAATGAAAATACGGATAAAAAGCAGGAATAAGCAGGGCCTAGAGCACATTTTTAAATAACAATTGTAAACTGGGGAGATCACTTATCCATATTAGTCAGGAAATCCTACTAGCAACAACTTGTTCATTTTGGCTGCCCCAGCTGTGTCACAACTTGGATTGGTTACATGCAACCCGTTGCTTAAGCATGTTACTCTTACAAATACAGGTGAAAAATCAGTGTGTGCTGCCTAGGGGAGCAGTCTATCTGAGTAGGCTTTGGCTGCACAGGTCTTGGAAATAAACTCCATCATGTGGCCACCAGGGTGGCCATAACATTACTATTAATACTAGGATCCCAAGAGACAACTAGGGAAAAAAAAAAAAAAAAAAAGAGATCCAGTTCTCCCTTACCTCCAGCTTTACTGGAGGTATTGGCAATTCTAGCATTGTTTTCAAACCAACCTGGAGGAAGGCAATGCTGTTCTCAGGGCAGGCAAGGAGTAAGAGTATTCCCACCATACTGTCCTTTTTCTCAGGCTAACATATAAAGGGGCTTCAGAAGAAGGTTGTGATGAATGGGGAATTCTGACAGGAGTTGTAACAGAAGAAAAATATGTTATCGGGCTCAGATGGACACAAAAGAGTCTTCTAGCAAGTAGGCACTAATCTAGGATTTGGAAAACAAGTGCTTGATTACCTGCACTGTCACAGATGATGGACAGATGACATACAGCCAGACTTTCAGCAATATTTAGGCAGCTAAATATTCAGGCACGTACATGGAAAACACTTTTCATAAGCACCTAAATTCCCAGGTGCATGTCTTCGTAACTGACTGGAAAATCTCACCTCTATCTCTAATTCCTTGTCTATCGAATTGGAACAGTGGCACTTCCCTATATTATAGGAATGTTGTGAGAACAAATGCTCTCAAAATCAGAAGAAATTAAATACAATTGTAATAGGGTTGTATAAATACCTCTGTCAGCTCTTTGTCCTGTAGTCTGATATTTCACAAGTGGTTCCCATTCTAGGGAATGCCTAATGAAGACCCCCAGCTAGAATAAAATATTTGTGTTTTCCAATATTTTATCGAAAATTAGGCAGGCTGCACATACACTTTCACAGGAGTATCAGCCTAGCCAGGGCCCAAGTATAAGGTGTGTGAGGGTATAAAGATGCAAGCTTGGTAATTAGAAAATTACACTGAACTGGGCATGCATGAAAATCAACAGCTGTTGACAACAGTCAAACAAAATGGACTTGTGTTATACTGGTGCTTAGGCATAGCAGCAATAAGGATTCGGGCCCAACTGTGCTGGTGTTGTAGTGTCCTTAGCTCTTCCAGCACTCCTCAATCTCTCACTTGCTATGTGCTATAAACAGTT